AGAGTCAAGCAATGCAGCAAACTTCATCAGTTCATTTTAAAGAAATTGCCACAGCCACCCCAACCTTCAGCAACCACCACCCTGATCAGTTAGCAGCCATCAACATCAAGGCAAGATTCTCCATCAAAAAGATTACAACCTGCTAAAAGCTCAGATGATTTTTTTTAAATTAAGGTATGTGCATTCTTTTTTTAAGACAAGGTTATTGCACAGTTAACAGAATAGAGTATAGTGTAAACATAACTTTTATGTGCACTGGGAAACCAAAAATCTCATTTGACTTACTTTATTGCAATATTTGCTTTATTGCAGTGGTCTGGAACTGAAACCACAATAGCTTTGAGGTATGCTTGTATTCATATTTATAAATCTCTTTTTCTTGGTACCTTCTTCATACTTTGCTCTTTTTATTTGTAGCTGACTGGTGCTACTTGTTTCTTTAATTTACTGATACCTACAGTTTTGTTACTAAAAACCCTAAAGGACATTTCTTAGACCTCTAGGAAATGATAATGACGATAAAGAATACATGTTAAATATTCACAGCATGGTCAGGACTCAGTAACAAATGAGAGAATGATGATTATAATGGGCATCATTTATTAATGGAAACTACTAACATCTGGCTAGGTGTTTATGCTAGCGTATGATAGGTGTTTTATATACACTTCCTGATACTAAAAACAACCCCAGCAAATACTATTCCCCTGTAAAGATGAGGGGACTATAGTTCGAAGCCATATGATGTCCTAAGAATAACCTCTTCAGGAAGTGGCACAGATGAAAGTTTGATGTACACCCATCATCTCTTGAACCCAAGCCCTCCATCACTATGTTGTATTGTCTCCTTGGGAGTAAGGGAGGAAAGGATGAATTGAAGAAAAGAAGGAAAAGAGAGGGAAGGGTGGGGGAAAAGGAAGGGAAAGGGAAGAGAGAGTAAACAAGAGGAATGGGAGAAAGAAAAAAACTTGAAAGACTTGGTACATGTTACCAAGTTACACAGTGTGTATCAGGCCAGAATGGTCCCTGGTACAAGCAAAGCTATAATCCTGATCAAGAGATGCAAAGGGAACACATTTTTATTTTAAAGTGAATACTGAGACTTAGACGCAGGGCTTTGGGTTAGTCCTTCCGCAGGGACAGGGTGTTGGTGAGAAATGTTTAGAATGAAAGAGCCTGGTGGGAGAAATTCCTTAAGTGACCTAACCCAACTTCTGAGCTGTTAAGTGATCATTCCTTGTAGCTTTCAGCAGTTTTCTGGGGAGCAGGCCATACAGGGCTCTCCATTCACACTCAAGCCAGTCAAACATTATCCCCCTGGCCGATTTATTCAGGCATATTTTCCCCTAAAATAGTAGCCTCTCCAATGGAGAAGTAACTGGAATGAAGTGAAAACTGCATTAGGATTTGGCCACTTCTTATCTGGAAAACCAATTCTAAAAACTTTGAAGAAGCAACTAAAAGCTAAGAGTCTTTTAGCAGCTTCCAAAGTTACCTGAAGTTTAGCAGGAGAGACTACAATTCTAAAAGATCCATGTCACTTAAAGATGGAACAACTGCGGGAAAACGAGCTTTGAGAAGTCCAGAGGTACTGGGAAGGCCCCTCTCCATGGCAGTGTGGGTTTATGGGGGATTTACTTCCTGCTGGACTAACTGACCTGACTCACCATTCGAGGGTTTGCAAACAGTCCTGTCAGCAGAGGGAGTTTTTGTTTCCTTCTATTAGAAAACATGTAAAATTTAAAGTTAGCCTTGCCCTGCATTTACATAAGAATAACCAGACACAATAAATAAGATCTGGCAAGTACTACTGAGCTGTTCTGTTCTGATCAAGTTGGGATGCACTTTGCTCTCTCCCTTCGATTGGGCAAACCCAGAGACCCGTGCATCTGGTGTGCTGAAGATCTCCTGTGTCCCTGTTCTGAAGAACCAATCAGGGATGGAGAGCGGAGTTCACAGTCCTTGTAAGCGGAGCCAGCTTGCAGGCAATCTGTGTTTAGTCAAATTCTTTCCTCCCTCCCCAAAAAGTCTGACTTTATTTGCATAGATTAGACCATGCTGTTCCCATCTTGGTCTTTTTTTTTTTTTATGATTATGGATTTTTAGAGACTTCCACATACACACACCAAAACGCAGGCACACTCAGAAAACAGCAACAGTGCCTTAGTTTGGGTTGTTATTTTTCAGTCCTAGATTAGTTCCTTTTTTTTTTTAAAGGGAAATATTCCAAGTGACATTCCGCTAAGAAACAAGAGGGTTGGCTCAGCCCATCCAGAAAACGAAGCCTCACATTGTGAAGCACAGTGGATGTGGAAAAAAAATGACATGGGAGCTTCTGTGGATGGACAGAAGAAGAGGGCTGCAGTGACCTGAGGGGTTGTTTGGGTATAAAGACAGGGAGGTTTTATGACCCATCTCTGCCTTCCCCAGGAAGAGATGACAAGCAGAGAGGTAAACTGAGTAAATCACAGGGGCCAGCAGCACCAGTCAGGGACAAGTGACAGTTGCTTGATGTGGGCATTTAACGCCAATGATCAAGAGGCACATGTGTACGTCAGTTAGCAGAGATTTTCCTGTTGTTAGAATGTCACAACATCTGTTAACAGCTTACCATATCAGGAGGAAGTTTTTGTACTAGTTTCTTCAAAATTTTATTTTTCCAATATAGGGAGAGATAAGACTCTTAGAAAACTTAAAAAACTGCATGTTCTTGTCTCTTGCCCACAGTTTGAGGCAAAATCAGCAGAAGTCTTTCTTCATAGTTTAAATTTCCCACACACTTACACAGGTGCATATGCACAAGGTATTTATCCCTCTGATCCTTAACTACTTTGCTAGACTTGCAAATCGGCCACTTTGATCTCTGGTCTTAATTCCCGTATGATATAGCTTTTCCAAGACGTGATTTCTTTAACTGATGGCAACTTCTTTTAATGGTTAAAACAAACAAAAAAAACCATTCCAAATAATGATGGGTACCTAGCTATTTTCTATTGAGGACTTAAGTAATTTAGTGGGGATGATTTTTTAAAAACGTTTATGGCCAGGTGGCTCAAGGGGATATTTTGTTGAACACTGATTAAAAATAATTTCTTCTAAATGAGACCTGACCACAAACTGGAACCATTAATGGGGCTGGGATGTTGTCACCCAAGCGGAATCATGCCTGACTGCCTGCCGTACCTCCCACCACACAACCATTTTCTTCTTCTTTTTCTTCTCCTTTTCTTGTTCTTAATAGCAGAGTAAATAAGCAGCCAGCAAGGCCTAAATGTTTTTGGCCAAAAACAGAGTCCAAACTCCTCAGAGAAAACATTTGGCCTCTGTGGTTCTGTAATATGTTCCAGAACACTGAGTTCAGTGAAGAACATTGTGAAAAACTCCCACCCATCGGAATGATGGTGGGGAATGTTACAGTATCAGAAGTTTCAATTGGTCCTTTTCCTGCAGGCCTATAATGAGGCTTGTAAAAAATAAAAAAAAAAATAGTGCTATGTGGAAGTTCTCATGGGAAAAATGAATGGCAAGAAATCCTAGCTTTAAAAGAAACAGCTAATCTGCTAGTTTGATTGTTCTTCAAAACTTACGCTGAACCAATGAGCCTAATTAAAAACACTTGGCCTACTTCTATAAAGCATCATAGCTTTCTCTATGCTTCGTTTGTATACACCACAAAACTCCAGATAGACTATTATTTTTTCAAGCGCTCACTAACAAAGTGCTGACTTTGTTGGGATGGCTGAGCTAATTTCTTGAACTCAGTGTGAAACCTTAGCTAAACAAAATTGTGGTAATTTTCCTTAATTTGTAAAAGTGATTGGAGTGCAAACAAAATTTTCCTCTTGGGTCAATCCTATAATTTTCAATTAACTAAAACTAATCGTCAAGCAGGCACCAAACCTGCATTTTGTTTAAAGGGCTGGGAGGCATTTCCAAGGGTCAGGATGCATTAATTGTTTTTATAATTTTGAGAGAGAGACACGAAGAAGCCTGGTTCATTTTGTTCCTAGTATTTAAACAAAAAAGGAAACCTGCTTTGAGGTAAAATGTCATAGCAAAATACAATCTGTCCATTTAATTGTATGTTGTAATTAGGATGCGTTAACAGAGTTATCCCTTCACTGCTCAGGAGTCTCTTTGTGTGAAAGCAACTTACACTCTACTTCAACTGGCCTTGTGGTTCTTTATTGAATGAAGAAGGAAGCATAGGACCAGTTCCTGGAGCCACCCCCCGCAAGATGACCACTCCTAAGCAGAGGGCCTAGAGCCTCACCACTCTGGCCTGGGTCTTGGACCAGGATCATCAGCCTCACTTGGCCCGCTGGCTAGCAAGGCGCAGTCTCAGGTCCTACCAAGAGCTACTGACTCAGAATCTGAATTATAAAAAGATCCCTGTTGTACATTGCAACCTGAGAATCTCTTAAAGTACACCGTGGGCACTCAGACTGTGCACTTGATGCATTTTCACTGCCTGCCTGCCTGGTTCTCTCTCACTGATGGGAGGGGATCCACATTCACCGTCTAATCCTAGCTACTTACAGCAAGGCAGGCCCATGTGCCAAGGCTATTTTTGGAGGGGGAATAAAGCACCAACCCAGAATTAAATATGACAACTACCAATTGTCTTTAATACAAACGCCATGGGCAGGCTAGAAGAACGCTGTACTTGATTATAAAGTACATCCCTACTCCATCAAGCAAACGAACTTCCACACGGCAGCTTAGCATCCCGACTCAGGATTCTCTAGCGCTCCTTGCCCTTTCCATTATTTCCCGTGCTGCTTCTTTAGATATCCAACCTATTATTTCTACTAGTCCTGTCATTCAACAGGGACACCCAGATGAATTCTTAAATAATAATAAAAGTAACTCATTGGGTCGTACATATGGTGAAATGAAGAAAGAAAGAGGATCTTAACAGAAGCTAGATTTAAAAATAAAATACGCGCTACACAAGATAAAGTAAAAGACCCACAGGGTCAAGGCAGTTCTGTTCTCACCTGTGTAAATGAATCTTCCTGGCGTCCCTTTGCAGAACTGTTTGGATTTGTAGGACAGTGTGACTTCTACAACACCAGGGATGTGCCGAGGAGGGGTCTGCACACGGATGGCGTGAGGAGTAATCAACTAGGGGAGACATTTGAGGGAAAAAAATGTCATTGTGATACGTAAAGGACTCATTTTGCAGCTTTCCTATCAGCTCTCAATAAACATAGCTTTAAAACATGTAATTAACCTGTCAATGTTTAAACACAATCTTGATGCAACCTGTATAAAAGACACTGACAGCAATATTTACAAGAGCTCTGAGCACAGCCATAACAACTTTATCTGACTTTTCCTACACGGCAGGCACTCTGCTTCCTGGTTTGAAAAGTGAACCTGGCCTAATGAAATGATTTATCTCCTACAGGATATCCTTTGGAAAATCTCTGTTTGAAGCAGACACCCAAATCAGAACTGAGCTCTGCCATGCCTCTCCAGAAGTTGGTGGGCCTGGTGTTTGAACTGAGCTCTTAAACATGTGGAAAACACAGAGGTAGGAAATCAGTGGGCCAAGGCGTTCTGATTAGCTGCAGGGCACACGTATGAAATACCCCCAAAGACCATTTGGTATATTAACTACCAGAGGCACAATCAAAGAGCTTTAAAGGGAAACCAAAGAATAGCTTATGGATCTGGCAGAACTAAGGGCTGTCCATAAAAGGGAAACGGAAGGTTGGGGAGGGGGGCTGCAGAATGATCACTGACCCACTGTGCAATGCCATGTGCACAATGAGAAAGTTCATTTCTGAACCCTGTTGGCAATCAGATGACACAGAGAAGCAGAGTTAATTTTTTATTACTCTTATCTTTGTTTATATAACTAGAATGTTATTAATGGCCATAAAACTGGCATTATCTGGTTCTTTGAAAAATCCAGCCCTGGTATTTGACTGATTGACCTCCGACAGTGCTAGATTCTACATGTTGTCGCTCCATGCTGTCTGCAGTTATCCACTGCTTGACTCCTTTCACATTGATTTAGTTCAGTATTTGTGGGGCTGAGTCAGTATGCAATGGTGGGGCACTTGAGTCTGTGCTGACTTATGTTTTTGCTGTTCTTATAGGGATGACTCAGACAGGAGTTTGTTTTAATGAGCAGATCAGGCCCAGTTCAAATGTTTTGCCCTGAAAATCATAGGTGACACCATGACAATCAAGGTGACATCCGTGAATGCCAGCCCCTGGGTTCCATCTGGGCAGATGGGGCTAACACCAAGCTCCTGGGAAGTGTATGAAAGGTGCTGCTGCAAAGGTCCACACACACTTCCACAAGTCAAATGATCTTTCTTGAACCTAAAGGAAAGGCCATCTGCATTCACTTGGTAATTAGAAATGCCTTTCCTCTTCCATAGAATAGAATGTGTGGAACCTTAGCTTATTTGCTGGAGGTATACAAATAACATTTCAGTAAAGCCCTGCTTATGTGGAACCCTTGCAGACAATTCATCTCTAGGGCTGATTTTTTGGGTAGCTAAGGGTTTACCTGTAAAAGCAAAAAAAAATTTACTTAAAATTTTGTCCGTTTCATATTGAATTTCTTCTAATATGTACTGCATGTTTTCTAAAATAAGCAAAGAATATACAATTTCATGTAGCTTTGATAAATCAAGATTGTCTTTGGATTACCCCTTGCTATAACTTGCAGTGCTATAGACAAGCCCTAAGTGACTACAGTAGACTAAGGGGCTGTTTTCCCCTGTACTACATGGCTCCATAGCTATAGTTTCTAAGTTATTTCTATTTTATTCATTTTCTTTGTCTTTCTCCTCCCAGTGCCTTTACATCTGCTAATCTGCTCTTCTAATCTGTAAGCATCAGAACCAGGAAATCAAGTTTACTACTGTGTAGAGAATAGAAGAAGGAAAGAGGCTCTGAAGGGAAGTAGACGATAATCTTCCAAAATCAAGTACATGTTTAATCTCAACTGCTCAGACAGTGTTTTTACAAAGTTGGGAATTAAAACTTGTTGAGTACCTAGGAGGTATCTACACGTTGCTGAAGATTTTACATACAAACACTAATTCAGTCAGAACAATGGTTTATATCATTTTCCCTTTTTGTCAGATTGAAAACATGAATCTTACAATGATTAAGGTGCTTGCACAAGAGCACCTTCATGAGAGCAGAGAATGACAGGCACGCAGTTCAAAAACTGACAAGAACAAATACATCCTGTTTAATCATAGAGAAGAAAACGTGCATACAGAAACTTTCTAAAGGTAGTGACAAACGCAAATTTTTCAGATCCAAGGACTGTGTGTGCTTTTTTCTATCCTCATGCTATATCCATTTTTCGTTTACTGCCCAGTTGACTGTTTTTGATGACAGAAGTCACCCTACTGTTATATTCCAAACAGGTGGTTTGCTTCTATTTGTAAGAGTAACTTGGATTGTAGGGTAACATTAACTTACAAAAATACTTCGGAGAACTTTCAGCCAGTTAGAAAATACTTCACCTGCCCTCTCTCTTCTCAGGGAAATAGATTTTAAAAGATGGAAAGATTAGTAAGTAGATGAATGGAGACATCTTTTTAAGAATCAGGACTTACAAACCAAGAGTTGCAATAAGGCACAAAATTCATGGACTTTATGGATTGATTAGATATGACTGCAATGAAACTACTGACTTGGGGGGTGTTAGCATAAAGCACTAGGCTCAGGGAATTGAAACAAGTTTTCATTTACAATTTCATTTGCAGTTTTAATCAATCTCCCTAACTAAAGCAGAGATTCCTTATTGAAATAACTATCCTTCACAGATGAAGTAGAATATGAATCCTCATTAGAGAATGAATTTGTTGATATTCTCCTTGCTGTGGATGTTTGTCTGCGAACAGCTTTGGCATTGTCATATTTTGATGACTTGTAGAGGAAAAACATTTTAACTTCTACCAGTTTGAAAGCATAGGCTTATTTACTAATCACTCAAAGAATCACAGAATTAATTACTTGAAGGAATGCTAGTAATCCTTCAAAAGTGACACTCACTTTTTAACAGATAAGAACAGAGGAGTCCAGAAAAGTCTACTGGTTCCAAAAATTGACCCAACAGAGGAGAAGAACAGGGTCTAGATCTGGAAGTCCAGGAGCCAAGACCTCCACACTTCCCCGTTGCAGGGTAGATTTCCAGCATTGTTCCAACGTGGCTGAGCTAAGGCAGCTGCTCCAAACAACGGAAGGAGGATGGGCTCTCCTAAGTCTATTATTTTCCAAACTTCCATCATGGGAATACCACTCTGTCAGTTTAGCCATATCTATACCCACCACCTACACAATTATGTTCTTAATATTTTTTAAATTGATTACCTTGTTGTTTAAAACACCTTATTTTAAAAGGAAACTTTATCTCACTACTGCAACTGGAAAGCTGATATCCCCACCAAAATAAGAAGGTATTATAGACGGTAACCTTAAAGTTACTGTGATATTGTTAAATTCTATCTAGATAATGTTGACAGCGTGAAGGTGTTTATTGAAAAGGGACATTAGCTAGTATGAGATGTTACAGACTATTTGCTCTAACTAAGACTTTCTCCCTCAACATAAATCAGAAGGATTAAAAGAGAAACAAAAGAATATTCTCACTATGTGATTCAGTTCTACTGTGTCAAATCCAAAATTGTCTCCTGTGTATATTCATAAATGATATATCCTATAATGGGTTAACATCCAAAATATATAAAGAACTCATATGACTCAACACTGAGAAAAACCCCTAATAACCCAATTAAAAAATGGGCAGAGGACCTGAATAGACAGTTTTCCAAAAAAGACATACAGATGGCCAACAGGCACATGAAAGATGCTCTACATCACTAATCATCAGGGAAATGCAAATCAAAACCACAATGAGATACCATCTCATATCAGTCAGAATGGCCACTATCCAAAAGACAAGAAGTAACAGTGTTGGTGGGGATGTTGAGAAAATGAAGCCTCCTACACTACTAGTGAGAATGTAAATTAGTTCAACCACTCTGGAAAGCAGTATGGAGGTTCCTCAAAAAGGTAAGAATAGAAATACCATAATACCCAGTAACTCCACTTCTAGGAATTTACTTGAAAACAAAATATCTGATTTGAAAAGATACACGCACCCCTATGTTTATTGCCATATTATTTACAATAACCAAGATACAGAAGCAAAACGTATCCATCAATAGGTGAATGGATAAAGAAGATGTAGTACCTATACACAACGGAATATTATTCAGCCATAAAAAAGAAGGAAATCCTGCTATTGTGACAACCTAGGTAGACCTAGAAGGTATTTTGCTAAGAGAAATAAGCCAAGCAGAGGAAGACAAATACCATATGATTTCACTTACAAATGGGATCTAAAAACAAAACAAAACAAAATGAATAAAACAGCAGTAGACTCAAAGACACTGAGGAGCTATGGGTAGTTACCATGGGGGAGGGGTTGGGGTTGACGGGTGGGTAGGTTGAAGGGTAAAAATGGGCACAAAATTCTCAATCATAATATAAGATAGTCATGGGGACAGTAGTACAACATGGAGAATATAGCCAATGATTCTGTAACATCTTTTTATGTTGCAGATAGTAACTGCACTAGGTGGGGTGAGCATTTAATAGTGTATGTAACTGTTGAATCACTGTGTTGTGTACTTGCAACCAACATAATATTGTATACCAACTATACTTCAATAAAAAAATATAAAGCAAAACAAACAAAAATATAATCGCCTCCTGTCCTACCAGGGACACGTGCTACATACTTTGGAAAATCCTATTCTAAGTCTTTAGAGAAAGATTCACCCTTTTGACTTAACTTCCTTAAATCACAAACCAAATGAGTTCAGCTAAAAATAATATTCTTCTGAAACTCTGTAGCATCTGCCACTACTTTTTCCCTTCTTGGAGGTCTCCACTTTCTTCATTTCTGTGACACTGACTCAAAGTCCCAAGACTTGCAAAGTGTCTGATGGCTTACCAAAGCATTTTTACATTTATTATCTTTTAAAACCCATCCTTTTAGGATATATATTCCAGATGCGAAAAGCTGAGGGTCAGGTAAGCTAATGATTATTATTTGAAACACCAGGATGAAAACCCAAACC